TTTGTGCTCAAAGAAAACAAAAATAACAACTTTATTCAACAATTTCTTCTCTTCTGTGTCAGACCTCAACACGCGTTCAAGACAGTACCAGTTCTCGTAGCTTCATAAAATTACGGTTGAACCACTGATGTCACATGGATTATTTTAACAATGTTTTTACTACCTTTCTGGGTCTTGAACGTGTCAGTTGCACTGCTGTCTATGGAGGGTAAACACATGGTGTTTATTAAGGCATGAATTAATATTACTGTTGTTCATATTAATCAATAGGTACCAGAGGTCTTTAGCATAAAAAGTTACAAAGGTGCTTTGAAATATATTACACTGTAAAATTATGCTTGTATTTGTAAATAATGTGAATTTTATTTCAGACTCCTCCACTATCATCCTTCGGCTCCTTTAAGAGAGACTCAAACAAGAACAGTGGCTTTTTCAAACTGGGCCAAGAGGGCAAATTTCGTGTCTACCACAACCAGTACAGCACTAACACACTTGCGCTGAATAAGCACCAACACCGTGAGGATCACGACAAACGCAGACACCTCTCCCACAAGTTCTGCATGACCCCTGCTGGTGAGTTCAAGTGGAACGGATCGCTGTACGGCTCCAAAGCCCTGACTGTGTCCACGCTGAGACTAACCATCATCCAGCTGGAGAACAATGTCCCTGCTCCGTTCTTGCATCCCAACTGGGCGTCACACAGGTAAAAGTCTCACAAGTGCCAGTAGGACTTGTATTTATTTGAAATGTGTAACGGTTTCTGGAAACAGCATTTAACCGTGTCATCATGTAACCTTTCCATTGCTGTAGGTCAAACTGGATAAAGGCTGTCCAGATGTGCAGCAAGGCGAGAGAGTTTGCTTTAGCGTTGGCCATTCTGGAGTGTGCAATCAAACCAGTGGTCATGCTCCCTATGTGGAAGGATTCTCTGGGTCACACAAGGTCAGTTTAAATAAATGCGGATATTAAAACAGCCATCCGCAATCTTTTGATGCTTCGAAAAAAGCCATGCAATGAAGTTTAATGGAGTATAAATGTATGCAAATGCAATATGATGACTACCAGTGGGAGTGAAGACAGTGAAGCTTACATTATCTGTTGCCTGTTGGATAGAAAATATAAAAAATATAGCTAGCAGTCAGTAGATTTGAAAGTTTCTTATAAAAGGAGCCATTACAAGTTCTCTAATAGTATAAAATGGTTAGTATAAATATAAAAAAGTGGGGAAAAAAGCGTAAATTATATTTGAAGTTCATACAAACCAACGGTGCCCTTTTTTGCACTTAAATTTAATCTGTGTAAAATTTTTAACTTGATACATTTGTGTATTGCTTTATTGTATTTAAATGTTCAGTTATTTTTGTTATAAGAAAAAGTTATTAAACCTGTTATACCGTATTATGACAACACTTTTTTTGTAACTAAATTTCAATATCGTGATAATACCCTATCCCGTGATAAAAGCATTAGCAATTAATCGCAGCATGAAAATTTGATACCGGCATATCCCTAATAGTAAGTGAGAGTGTGTTTGCCTGTGGACAGATGTCCAGAAGACAGTCATTGACACCCTCCACAAGGAGGGTAAGCCACAAAAGCTCATTGCTAAAGAAGCTGGTTGTTCACAGTGTGCTGTAGAAATATTTCACACTGTGTAATGAATCTATATAATATATGGGTTTCACTTTCTGAAATGAGTGACAAAAAATATTGACCTTTTTCATGATATTCTAATTTTTTGAGATGTACCTGTATATAGATGAGCAGTTTAAAGTGTGTATGTGATTTAAATTTAAACTGAGTTTGAAATCATCTGAGCGTGGTCAAGAGAATTCAGTGTATGTCTCTGGGATTTTTTTTAGATCTAAAGCTAGATAAAAAATAAAGCTGAATAAATCAGAATAGGCTAAGGATTGTGCCGAGTTTGGTGGATTGCAAGTTTTATGAGTTATTATAGTTAGGGGTTTTCACTACAAGTCTGTGGGATCTTGGCCTTGTTTGATATTCTGCTAAGGAAAAAATGTCAGATCAGTAAGAAAGTCATAATAACCCAAGTCATGTCTGGGCTGTGTTTGGTGGATGTAGCTTGAAAGCTTTAGAAGGATTTGCAGTCAGAAAGAGCTTAGGGATTTTGTTAAAAAAAAAAAAAAAAGAAACCCACAGCCACATTTTTATAATAGCAGTATGTTGGCTTTGTCAAGCTGATATAATTGTCATGTGCAGTTTATTGTCAGGGAAGTTAAATGCTTATTTGCATGTTTGGGTAACAATACATTAATCCAGTACTATCTTTCTGCTCATTGTTGCTTCTAAACACGAAAACATCCTTGTGTGTACTTGAACAAATTCTGTGCTGGGGGCTTTACGAAAATGTACAGTGAGTCACCTTTATGTCCCAGTTTTGGTTAGCTTTCTTTTTTTGTGCTTCATCTTTCCGCAGGCTTCATCGCATGACCTCTGTGGAGCGGGAAGAGAAGGAGAAGGTGAAAAAGAGAGAGAAGAAACTAGAAGATGAAGAGACTATGCAGCAGGCCACATGGGTGAAGTACACTTTCCCCATCAAACACCAGGTATGTCTGAACACTTGGCAGCTGAGTGTTTCATTTGAACATTTTAGGAAATCGCACCAGCTTCAGCCTTCATGCTGTAGGCTTTCAGTAACTGTTTAAACATCATCCATAGGTGTGGAAGCAGAAGGGTGAGGAGTACAGAGTAACTGGGTATGGAGGCTGGAGCTGGGTGAGCAAGACGCACGTCCATCGCTTTGTCCCAAAGCTACCTGGAAACACCAATGTCAATTACCGGAAAGCACTTGAGGGTATGTTGTTTGCTCATTTATAATACTAAAAAATGTGATCTGGGACACAGAGAAGTCTTCTATTGGCAGAAATTCTCTAATAAAAAATATTTTTTAGCAGCTAAAACTGGAATGGACAATAAGGCAGTTCTCCCAGAAACACCAAAACCTTTGGTTAAAACAGATGAAAATTTGTCTCAAAATGTGCCTGAAAAAGATGACATCCAGGACACGTCACTGGATTCTTCTGAAGAAAAGCTATCTGTGGAGAAAGATCATGTGTTAAAAGATGAAGAACAAAATGAAGAAAAAGAGATTGAAACGTTTGAAAAAATGTGTGATGAGAAAAATGAGTCTGTGGAAGAAATGGACACCAGCTCACCTAACTCTGCAAATGATGAAGCAGGTATTTGCAAAGTTTAATTTTCATTGTCCTTTTTCCTGTACCAAGAACAGAAGTTTATCAGAAATGATACCCTCTTTTTAGTTGTGATATAGTGTCTCAGTCTAAATGACATTCACACTGGTGTTTTAGGAAGCCAAACAATTAGAATATAATAATAATGATAATTATAATTTTATATTATTATTATTCCTATGACAGTAATAGCCATAAATTGTAAAACAATTGCATTGTAAAATAAATGAAAATATTTCATAGGTGTATTATTTTGCTTTACATTACAGTAGGGAAATTACAATACTTTTGTCCTAATTTCTACACTTGAAAGAGATATTTTGAATTTGAACTGCAGTACCCATTTAAACCGCTAGCTGTCAATATTACATACTGAAATTTAAGCTTTTATTTTGACAAACTGCAGTTGAGCTTTTTTTTTGATGGAGCTTCAATGAAACAGGTTTACAAACACGTCTCATTACAAATCTAGTAAAACATTTTAATCATCTGCCCATTAAAATGTTGAAAATTATGTGAATGTGAAAATAAAGCATAGCTGGTGGCAGTTCCCAAATGCACGCTAAACTCACAGCACATGCAGAAATGGAGTTCACTGCATTCACTGTGAGCTGAGGCTTTTTGAGACATGGAAAACTCCTGATCACAAGCTGATCGCATAATCAAAGTGCGTGCTTTGCTTTGAAAAGTGCAGAGAAAACAGACTTGCTGAAGGGATTAAGCCATATTGTGCTTTCGGTTTAGTGTTTTATTTATTTTTTTTTTGATATACTTTGCCAAAGCAATGGCACAAAACACAAATTTAAAGACCTTTCATGTTAGAATGAGACATTTAAATATATTTTTGGTTTATTATGAAACTGTGATGGGCCACCACACTCTACTTAATGCTTGGGAAACACTGAACGTAGTTGCTAACGTCTCTGTTTTTCGTATTTGCAGCTAACATCACAAATGCCTCATCCGATGACTGTCCTTTGAAAGGGGAGCCTTCAGATAGTGAGGTGACGAAGGATAGTGCTCTGAATCAGCCCCAGCAATCCTTCTGGCATGATGTTGTGAATGTCAGCGAAGGCTTCTTGCTACGCACTGCATACAAGAAAAGGAAGGCATCAAAACTTGATGGCCTTTTGGAGAGACGGGTCAAACAGTTCACCATAGAAGAGAAGCAGAGGCTTGAGAAACTCAAGCAGACCACCAGTTCTAAACCCTTGACTGAAAAGGTAATGGAAAACAAGGAGACAACCATTGCTGCTGAAGACCAAAAGGTCAAGATTGAAGGAACTATCTCTGAAACTCCAAAGTCTAGACAGGCCGAGGGGGTAGCATGTCTAGCGATCCAAGAAAAAGACAGTGTGGTCAAAAAGCTTGAATTTAACCAAGAGGACGAACAGGCGAAGTCAAACACTTCAGGACAGAAGAACATCCTGGACGTCAGATTAAATGACTCGTGTGATGTAGCCCCTAAAGAACATCAGCAGAAGTTGCCTGAGCCAGAACCCAAAACTGGCAATAGGGTAGCAATGTCTGAACTTAATGGAAACTCTCAAAGTCTGGATCAAAGCTTGAACGTTAAACCTGACAAAACAGTTACAGAAACTACATGTCCACCCGAAGACTCTGAGAGAAAGGAAATTATTGAAAACAATGAAAATGATCTAGACGTAAAGAGAACAGTGCCTGTGCAAGTAAATGGAAAGGATGGTCTTGTTGACACAGAATGTAAGAACTTGACTGATAATGTTAACACAAAGGATCTAACCAATACCGTTGGGGAGGAGATTAAAGCAATATCACCAAAGGAAACAGTGAAGTCACTAATGAATGGTGATGCCAATCAAGAGTGTCTTAAAGAATGGACTAATAGCGCGCTTCCTCAGGAGAATTTGGATGAGGAGAAAGGAGTTACCAAACTTGACCCAGATTATCCACCACCTGAGAAAGTGGCCAAGTTGGAAAACAACATCGAAGGATCTGTAGACTCCTCGGTTAGTTCCTCCGTACCCGAACCATCTTCTGTAGCTTCCGAGCCAAACACAAAATCCGAGGTGCCTAGTCAAAGCTCAAAGGTGGAGCCGATGCAAGTTGAGGAGGCAAAGCCTCCTGTTCCTTCACCCGTCCCTTCAGCGGAAGAGTCCAGCTTGAGTAGTGACCTCACTGAAAACAGCAGCAGCGTTAGCGAGACTACGACTGTCATTACTCAAGTCACCACAACTACAACCACAGAGTCCCGCATGGTGTTGACCTCACGTGACAGCCTTGCTTCCAATAACGGGATCAGTACATCCGCACCAGCAGATTCTAAGGTGGAGTCTACCAGCTCTGTCTCGACACTCTCCACTACCACTACTGTTACCAAGGTTTTGAACTCATCGGACCAGGAAGCCACTCTAACAAAAGAGTGCAAGACCACTGTCACGAAAACACTGACTGACACCATGTCGAGTCCTAGTGGTTCCACTGTAAAATCTATGACAGTGAGTCAAGAATATTCCACCAGGGACAGGGTACAACTGTTAAAGTTCTCTCGCACCAAGAAAGCAAGGTCCGGAACGGCCTTGCCCTCGTACCGCAAGTTTGTGACCAAGAGTAGCAAGAAGAGTATCTTCGTACTTCCCAATGACGAACTGAAGAAACTCGCAAAGCGTGGTGGCATCCGCGAAGTTCCTATCTTTAATTATAACGCCAAGCCAGCCCTAGACATCTGGCCCTACCCATCTCCACGACCGACATTTGGGATCACATGGAGGTTTGCATCTTCTCTTTCTTTCCTGATTTTTGTCTTCCTTTTGGACGTTGTATTTCTGAAAACCTGAAATAATTGCTAAAGCAAGTATCAATATTTTTATAGCTTATACTTGGGGTCAGAGCATTGGAATGTCCATTCCTGTTCCTGGAGGGCCACCTTTCATCAAAATTTAGCTCTATTCATAGTCAAACACACCTGAACCAGCTAATCAAGGTCTTTAGGGTCACTAGAGTCTTTTAGGCAGGTGTGTTGGAGCTAAACTCTACTGGAAATTGGCCCGCTAGGATCAGGGTTGGACACTACTAGCTTAGGAATTTGAACAAGCCCTACATTTAAGTATTAATAGTTTGTTCTACATGCAAAAACATTGATTCAAAACTTTGTGGCTTGCTAAACGTATGCCTGCCATCACCTTTCTAGGCAATCAAACTTACAATTTTGCCTGGTGTATAATTAAACTGATGAAGATTGTAGACTTGTCCTGACCCATACCTTAAAACCAGAATATCATAGAGGGTAGGCACTTTTGACTTGGACCAGTAGGTAGCCGCCTACCAATGCCCTAGCATCCATCGAGAACATCCTAGCATCCATCTAGCAATGCATCAAAAACCATTTTGGCAATTTTATTACAAACGCCTTGGCAACGTCTAGCACTTTTGGTGGCAGATTTAGCTTGAAGAACCACTCACTTTTTGTTCAGAGATTGTAGTAATATGGTTTAACATATTTTAGTTTCCTTAAAGGGGTCATATGATGCTGCTAAAAAGAACATTATTTTGTGTATTTGGTGTATGAAATGTGTTTATGCGGTTTAAAGTTAAAAAAACACATTATTTTCCACATACTACGAGCCGTTTTAGGTAGGTGTGGCTAACTCTTAACTTTTATAAAGAATATCTCTTTGGATTTGAGACTTTAGTCTTTGCAACTTTACAGATCTTCTTTATGCACCAAGAGCTTGTAACACTCTAAAGAGAAAGGAAAAAATGAAATCGCATCATATGACCCCTTTAAGGGTTTTTGTAGCTCTTTCCTGTATTTTTTTGTCCTTGATCCCAATTACTGGTGTTGTCAAAAATATTCATGCTAGCTTCCCTTTTTTTAAACATTTTTAAGAACAATAATAGTCATCAAAAGACCAAATTGGCCTACAAGATTGGCCAGCATGAATACCTAGTTCTTTTAAACCTTTTTTGTAATGCTAATGAGCTGGAGGTTCTTTCATACAGATATCGACTCCAGACAGTGAGGTCTTTGGCTGGAGTGAGCCTAATGCTACGGCTACTTTGGGCCTGTCTCAGATGGGATGATATGTCTGTGAAACCCTCACCCACAGTAGGAACAACACGAACAGGTTGGCGCTTAACTGCTCATCACGTTTCGCTTTATCATTTGGAATTCAGCACTCAACCTTATTTGTGTAACTTAACAGAGACATCTGACACTGATATCACCACCACTGAGATCATCAAGCGGAGAGATGTTGGTCCTTACGGCATTCGTTCTGAGTATTGCATCAGGAAGATCATTTGTCCCCTTGGGGTGCCTGAGACTCCCAAAGGTAACTGTGACTCAGAGAGTCCTTGCTTTGTTTTTAAGATGTGTACAGTTTTCTATCATGCAAGGTTTGATTGACCAGAATCACTGCTGATATTTGATCTGTCCATCATTCCTTTGAGCAGAAACTCCCACACCTCAAAGGAAAGGCCTGCGTTCAAGCGCTCTGAGACCAAAGAAGCCAGAACCAGCTAAGCAGACTGGGCCTGTTGTGATCGAAACCTGGGTGGCTGAGGAAGACCTGGAACTCTGGGAGATTCGAGCCTTTACTGAAAGGTGGGAATTCCCTCTTTTTCTGTGAATGTACACACTAAAACCCAACTTACTGATTCCTTACTCATTTGTAAAACGTTCCATCAAAGCTTTCTCTAGTGTGAAAGATCTTGGACGAAGAAAGGTTGTAGATAAGACATTAATACTTGCATGTATTAGCTCATACGTTTTAATGATAGCAATAATTTAGGATGGTATTTCCTGTGTTCATGTACTAATTTTCCAATTTGTATGTTTCCCAACGATCAACATGTCCCAGTTTATCATATTTTATTTGTTCATTCGTATTCTTTTAAAGATTTTGAAACTTTCTGACTTCACAGGGTTGAGAGGGAAAAGTCGCAAGCAGCTGACCCAACTAAGGTTAGTGTGCAGAAGAAAGCAGAGGAGGTCAAGGCCCAATTGGAAGCTCAGCTAAAGCAGCAGAGATTGGCAGCCCAGCAGGTGGGAATGTAGACATGTGCCCACCTGGGGCGCCCCTTTTTATTAACCAGGGGCACAATATTGAAAGAAATGGGTGTTCTTCCCAATGGGCCTTTTGATTTTTTTTTACTTTTAATTATCATTTTACTCTTAGTTTGGTTGGGTGTGTTCTCATAATTTAATAATCTTAATTTTAACCAAAATACTCACCCATGGCTGACTTTATCTTGTGCTTTTCTTTTATTGCCTTGTATCTTTGCTTACACTGTGAAGTTGAACGGTTCAATGACTGTATTGCAGAAACGGCTGGAACAGCAGAAACCTAGCAGCACCAGCAACACATCCACCTTGACCAGCACTCCTACAACCCCTGGGACCACTACTCAAAAGGTGGTGGTGGGCTCTATTAGCGGTCAGGTAACTTCAGCACCAAAAGTGGTAATGACCACCAAGTTGGGCTCTCCGGTGACATTCCAGCAAAACAAGAACTTCCAGCAGTCCTTTGCTTCCTGGGTCAAGCAGGGCCAACAAGGCAACACAGGTCAGTCTTTACAGTGATATGAGAAGGCATGGGTTATAATGTAGCTTGATGACTGTTATTTTAGATGTTGTTGTTTTTTTGCATGTCTGTGTATATGGTTGGAAATTTGCTTGATTTGTATTTATTTTTTGGCCGTCCAGTTTTTTTTTTGTTTTGTTTTTTGTTTTTTTCTGGTAAGCTTGTTTGTGGTGGTGTTTTAGTGCTTGACATCGTTTCGTTGTCCGTGGCGCACTTGGATGCAACCGATGCTGTATTTCCTGATTGAGATGTATGTGTTAGGGTGGTGATCAGACCTGTGTCTTGCAGTCTCTACCAGTTCGGTTGTGACTGTGGCGGCGAGTAGCGCCACCACATCTGGGCAAACGTTCCACATCGCTGCTGCTGCGGGATCGATGGCCGGCAGCGTCATCGCCGCTAAACTGCCTGTTCCAGCCAACAGCAAGATAGTCACAGTGAACGTGCCAACCACTCAAGGAGGTACAGCAGGCCTCCAACATCATTGGCATGTGTTTTTTTTTTAGTTAGGCCTGCCTGCACGCAGAGAGGCAAAATATCGGCTCAGTATTCGTAAAAAGCATATTTTTTACTTTGTTTCTAATAATGAACAATAGGGGTGCTCCGATTGATCGGCTACCGATCTCTATCGGCCGATAATCGCTTTGGGATGTTTGATCGGCGGTCTCTATAAAGGCCGATCCCAAAAAAACGATCTCAAGCTGATGACGCTGCCGTCAGAGGTTTGGCATGACATGCAGCGGCACCGTCTCAGTCTCTGGCGCGGGTGAAATAATTATAATGCTGAAGGTGAGGTACAATTCATATTTCTTCATTAAATAACCTATAAAGAAATGTGAAAACTTTCTGTGAGACATAATTTCACAAACAGCGTGAGTGAATCACCGCGCGATCTCTCTTTCTCTCTCAAAATGTGCAAATGGCTTCAAATCACCACATGGCGTCTGTCTATAAGCGAGCTGCACAGTTGACACAGGAATTGTCACTTGCACAATCGAGGCAATGTCGCATCGTCACTAAAGTTTATAAATTGCATTTCTTTTTAATTCTTGCCAGTGTTTAACCATTCAGCGCTCGCGCGCTCTCCTGGAGACCATGCGCTCATGCACACTCGCAGCGCACACACATAATGCCAGGTTCACATTACTCCATTTGCAGGTTCACATTACTCCGTTTGCGGTGTGTATGTGGTGCGTATTTTTTCCGCGCTCAAGTTAACGGATTAAATCGTTCACCCTGCACACGGTTGCGGTGCATCTGCAGCAGTGCAGAGATCGTTTCCGCTGCAAGCGCTGAATTAAGGGACAGCGCATTGTTAGCAGTAAATATGAACATGGATTGACACAGAAAATGTAGTAATAACACAATAAATGCATAAAATTATAGTCTACTGTGTTTCACAGTCAACACATAGGCTATGGCTTTTTGGCTAGGTTTAAAGGAAAAGAGCATTTTTAGATAAACAAGGCAATAATACATGGCACTGTTGGAGGTAGGAAAAAAAGTTCTTTATGAACCGCTGGATTGCTTGTAATAAAGATTTAAATGCAAAAGAAAAGGCAGTAGAGCTGACTGTTTCTGTCAATGGTAAGTTTTCATTTAGAATGTTTGTGATGATGTAATAAAAGTAGTTAACATGTTTTGCCACTTGCTTGAGCAACTTAATATATAAATCTAGAAGTAAATGCAAAAGTAAAAAGCATTGAATAATGTGTCTCTTATATTTACTGCATTTAAACACATCTATGAAAGATTGTATTACTGTACTGTGTAAAAAAAAAAAAAAAGAATCACAATGCTGAAAAAGCATTCTCAGTAACGATGTTTGGATTTGAAATTAGGGCTGGACGATATGGCCAAAATTGATAAAATAAATCAATGTATGGGAAACACTGGTAATGTATATCGAAATATCGGAAATGTGTTTAAAAATCATATCACCGTTATTGAAAAAAATTATATCGCGATACATATTGATATTGAATTATTGTCCAACCCTATTTGAAATCAAAATAATGGATAAATGTTGTGTTTGTAGTAAACAGCCACAGATCAGGAGCAGACTCCTGTGTGAAAGCACAATGAGAGTCCGTGCTGCTTCTGCACCGTGAAAGTAAACAACGTGAGTGCATATACACTGCAAATGGAGTATGTGTGAATCTGGTGTAAAAGGCAGTCTCACATACAGCTCATGAAATCAGGCTTGTGCTGTGTGAAAGCTATTGTGCAACCCCCCCCACCTCTCAAATTAAAAAATCCCCTCTCACAAGAGTCACCTAAAAGGGGAATTCATTTTCAAAAATGAAATTCAGGCCCTGAATTAATGTCTACAAATCTTGATTGGATCATCACTATAAATAATTCTACATAAAGAAGGCTTTAAAAAGATTGATATCGGTGATTGTATCGGCAGATACTGCTTTCTGTGATCGGTGATCAGCCTCAAAAATCCGGATCGGAGCACCCCTAATGAACAACATGTCGTGAGCTTGGGTCAGTTAATATACAGCCTGTTAGTTGTCTACAAGGGTGTTCAGACTGGCATCGGTTTGCTGCAATGGAGCAATCGAAAGTCATTCAATTTTAATGAGAGGTGGCGGTTCAAGGAAACATTGTTTAATTGCTGTCATTGTGAACATCCTCTAAATTTTGGTACAAGCTTTGCGTCTGTTTTACGGCTTTACTATTTTGGATTTAATTCAGTTGATTATCATTGTTGAATACAACGGATTACTTCGTTTTTTTCATGCTGAAATATTTTGGTGTTCTGTTTCCCTCTTTACCATTTTTCAACTCTGTTTCTGATAAAAATACCTTTTAAATGTTTGGAGTCAGTAAGATTTTTTCTTTTGATATCTGAAGCATCGTGTGGCACTGAAGACTGGAGTAATGAGTAATTGCCACCACAGGAATAAATGACATTTTACAATAGATTAAAATGGTAAACGTCTTTTAAACTTAAACTTTCATGAAATGACTGTATTTTTGATCAAATAAATGCAGCCTTGGTGAACGAAAGAGACTCGTTTCAAAAACGTCAAAAAAATCTTACCAACTCCAAACTTTTGACCAGATATGTATCCGTGTAATGCAGTATTCTTGGAGAAAACTAACTCTGCTCATCATCTCGGCAGGTTTGGTGCAGGTACAGCAGAAGGTGGTGGGCATCATTCCATCAAGCACAGCGGGCACCGCTCAGTCCTTCCCTGCATTCCAGCCCCGTACGGCCACCATCAACATCAGACCCAACACAACCACCTCAACGCAGCAGGCATGAGCTCTCAGTAAAATGATCCATTCTGGTAAACTCAGCTTCTTTTGTTCTTGCAATAACGTTTTATGTAATGATTTTTGCTCAGGTTATTACAACTGGAACCGCTCTCCGACCAGGGATGACTGTCATACGCTCTCCTCTGCAGCAGACCACCACCCTGGGCAAGACTATCATTCGCACACCCCTGATGGTCCAGCAAGGTATTCTCAACCAGGTTTCATCCTGGAAGTCAAATGGTTCATTTTTAAATTTAATTAATTACACTATTTGTATGTTTATTCAGTAGTGTAATAGAGACGGGAAATGAGAGAATCCCATTCAATTAGTGGTCATTATTTTAAAAGATAAAATTAACGTTCAGTAATATTATTGATTTATCTGTGCTGCCATAATAAGAACAAAATATGAATTGAATTGAGCTGCATAATGACACTAACTTTGCAGCGTCAACACTATTATTGAATTAAATCAGCATTGAACTGTCTTCAGCTGAAACTAAATAATGATTGCTTTCTGCAAAGCTGCTTATAGCCGAATTGATCTAGTTTCATAATTGATTAACTTTGCAGCATTCACAGTTACTGAACTGAACCATTGAAATAAATTCAGCTGAATAATGACACTGTTGTCTTCTGTAGAGCTGCTTTATAGCTGAAATTGATGTTGTTTCATAATTGATCAACTTTGCAACTGTTAGTTATTGAGCTGAATAATGACATCTGAAATTGAAATTTGTATCATAATTAATGGGTTTTACAAGATTTAAACTGTTATTTTTCTGTTTATTACTGAAACGATATGTATTGTAAAAGCGCTATATGAATAAATGTGACTTGATTTGATTATACAAAAACATATTTGACTGCATAATGGCTAATTCTGTTGAATATACCACATTTTTAGAGTGTAAATGTGATTTGTATCACACAGGTCAAGTGCAACAGACAGTGCAGACGAGCTCAGGCGTTCAGGCGGTGGGCACTCCTCCTCGCCTCTCCACACCAAACCCAGCCCAGACACCACAGATGCTGTCTTCTCCCCGTCCACAGCAGGGTCAGGTCAAACTCACCCTGGCCCAGCTCACACAGCTCACCCAGGGGGCTCAGGTGTGTACTAGTTTTAAATCAGCTTGTTTTAATGTTTTTATTGTGCCCGCTTCAACTGTGCACATGCTAGTATGTTAGTAAATTAGTATCACCCTGGTTCCCTTTACAAAAACCCACTGGCTTTTGGATTATTGCAGAAAATAAGCTCTGTGACCAACAAAAGTTTGATTCTTACTTTTTTTTTTTTTTCATCATTCTTCACAAATGAACAACTATTATGAGTTCTGAAGCCCGGCAGAATTAAGCTAAATGTTGGCTATACATGGTATTGCTGATGCATTTTATTTTGTAAAATAAAACATGAAAATATTTTGAGCTTGTGTTAACCACAGCCATTATTGCAAGCATTTATGGGGGGGGGGGGAAATTTCCTTTAGGACAATAGAACCGGCAAACTTGCTTTCTGGTTTTGGCATACATCATCCTTGTAGCACTCTATTCCAATGACTTACCTAACCCAGGTTATTGGTTACAGTTAATATTTAAATAAACTCACTCTTTCGCTCTTCAGGGAGGAAACCAGGGCTTGACGGTTGTGATCCAGGGGCAAGGTCAGACCACAGGCCAGCTGCAGGTCATTCCTCAGGGGGTGACGGTCATTCCGGGGCCCGGTCAGCAGCTCATGCAGGCAGCCATGCCCAATGGCCAAGTCCAGCGGTTCCTGTTCACACCCATGGCCCCTGCTCCAGTGTCTGCCCCCGCTGCCCCCTCCACGACAGCCTCATCAGGTGTCCCAGCCACAGCTGCACCAGCTGCTGCCACCAGCACAACTCCAGCACCCATTCAGCCAGGTCAGACTGTTTATTAGACACTCTCCTTTTTTTTATGCAAGCATCAATATGGAACTTGGCCAGCAATGTAACTTCTTAAGACAGAAAAATTCAGATGCTGATTTGCATAATCTCCAAAAAAGGCATTAAATTTACTTATGTCACTTGAACTTCCTGCTCAGATTACCTGGATACCTACTGATATTGTCAAAAAAAAAAAGTATATGTATATCAGGGGCATTTCCTTTGAGGAGGTGCCTCCTCAAAATATTGGATGAGAAAGAAATTTGTAGTGCAAAAATAAAACAACACCAATATTATAAAATATAACATTAAAGGGTTAGTTCACCCAAAAATGAAAATTCTGTCATTAATTACTCGCCCTCATGTCATTCCAAACCCGTTAGACCTTCGTTCATCTTCAGAACACAAATTAAGATATTTTTGATGAAATCCGAGAGCTTTCTGACACTGCCATAGACAGCAACGCAACTGTAATGTTCCCAGGGCCAGAAACGTAGTAAGGACATCAGTAAAATAGTCCATGTGACATCAGTGGTTCAGTCGTAGTTTTACGAAGCTACAAGAATACTTTTTGTGCACAAAGAAAACAATAATAACATAATTTATTCAACAATTCTTCTCCCAGAGTTACCGTCTTCCGTCATTTTGTAGAGTACCCCAGAACGTAATCAACGTAATCGGCGTTGTTTACGTTCAGGATAAAGCGCGTGCATGTTGAATGTAAACAACGCTGATTACGTTGATTACGTTCTGGGGTACTCTCCAAAATGACGGAAGACGGTAACTCGGGGAGAATTGTTGAAAAAATTATTATTGTTTTCTTTGCGCACAAAAAGTATTTTCATAGCTTCGTAAAATTATGACTGAACCACTGATGTCACATTGATTATTTTACCGATGTCCTTACTACGTTTCTGGCCCTGGGAACATTACAGTTGCATTGCTGTCTATGGGAGGGTCAGAGAGCTCTCAGATTCCATCAAAAATATCTTAATTTGTGTTCTGAAGATGAACGAAGGTCTTCCGGGTTTGGAACGACATGAGGTTGAGTAATAAATGACAGAATTTTCATTTTTGGGTGAACTAGCTTTTTAAAAGTTGTATAAATCACTTGTTTTTGTAAAGAAACACTGTCCAACAGTGACACCAGCAGATAAAGTTACAGCGGGAATCCACATGCTTCTCGCCTCCCCTGAGCCTATTGAGTTTTAACAGACCCGCTACAGAATGCAGTGATTTTGGTGAGGAGTAATTGAGAATGAATGGGGGAAAGTCACGTGAGAGGAGGCAATGCCCCCATCGCGATATCAATGGATATGACTCGTTACGATTGGCTTTGATTGGTTCATGCGATAAATCCTGCATCTTCGTGCATGTTCCACATTCGCAAATCAGTCTGAATGAACAATATAATGATGTTAACGGGAATACTCATTTAAAAACGTAAGTAAACAACTCACATACTTTGTCACGCTTTACGTCAAAAGACGTAAAATGGCATGAAAACATGATCTGTGGGAGTTTTTAGTGAGTAATCAGCTTGGTTCAATTTAATCTCATGTCTGTGACCAATATTTACTGAACTTTGACTGATGATCCGAAATATTCAAAAATAGTTAAATGTTAACATTAAAAGTTAAAATTTAATTTACAAGAATAGCTGAACACAAGTTCACAAGTAAAATATATTGTTTAAGTTGTTACTGCCTTGAGTTATTATTTTGGAATAAATGTAAAGTGCTTAAAAACACTAACTTGATAAGATTCATATGTGGCTTTAATAAGTAGAATATTAATTACATTGTTAATGTAAAAATATACATTGAATAGTTTTTTTTTCTTTTTCTGATAGTGTAAGTAATGTTAATTTAGCGAAGAAAATGTAACTGGGACATGAATTTACATTTGATTTAAAAGAAAAATAAGAAAGAAAAGAAAAAAATTGTCGTCTCATTTCAAAACACCACCACACACCACTGTGGACAGACAATTGACCGTTCACAAAGACCCGCCCTCCTTAGTTACTGTTGCTATCCTCGACAAACAATGCCACTCTCACACTACACTCATGTTCTCACGCAGTGAAAAATACATCGCAGAGCAAAGAGGAAACTGACAACGTGCCGACAGACAGGACAGAGCAGGTTACTTCTGGTATGAAACAAGGTCTCAGGACTCTCAGCTTTCAAATTTTTATTTAATGGTTAGAGAGTCGGACTTGTAACACGAAGGTCGTGGGTTCGAGTCTCAGATCCGGCAGGGATTGTAGGTGGGGGGAGTGAATATCCAGCACTCTCTCCACCTTCAATACCACGACTGAGGTGAGACCCTTTGAGCAAGGCACCGAACCCCCAACTGCTCCCCGGGCACCGCAGCTTTGGCTGCCCACTGCTCCAGGTGTGTGTTCAAGGTGTGTGCGTGTTCACTACTGTGTGTGTGCACTTGGATGGGTTAAATGCAGAGCACAAATTCTGAGTATGGGACACCATACTTGGCTACACGTCACTTCACTTCACTTTAATGTGTCGTGACAGATCGCTGTATTGCCTCAATTCAAACACGTGAACCGATTCACATCATTCACATTTCATATGTACTTAAAGCACGAAATGAACATGAATAAACATCAGAAAGTATTTTATTTCAACCGAGAAACACACCGAAGTAAATCTACTCTCCTGTCTGATTTGTGGTTAAGGCTAGAAGGGATACAGCTGTGGCTACTGGGCATGCGCACATCAGTATAGCGTCATTATTATCACACTGTACAACAATAATTACTTTTGCATTATTGTTTAGGGTTGGGGTAGGTGTAGGCATTAATAAAACACAATCTAATCCACTTTTTTCTGAACACGGAAGTTACGTCGGACTGGAACAGGGCTTTACATTTCCGGTCTCTAGTGTTTCTAGTCTACATATTTTCTGAGTCGACAAAATAACGTGAAACCTATGAAAATGGTTTAAAAATAGCACATGGCGCCATAGTTCCATCACTTTAGAGCAGTGGTCACCAACGTGGTGCCCGTGGGCACCTGGTAGCCCGCATGGTCTGGAGTCTCTTGAGTCGCCCGCCAAGCAAGTTCTATAAATAGCCTAAATTAGCGTCGGGCGATAAATTATATCATATCGAGATTATGATTAAATTTATATTAATAATGATGATAAGCTCTGGACATTTTTACTCAATATGGATTAATCACAACAGAAATAAATGTTACAGCAACCAGTCAGTGCATGTCGCTAATAAGTCTGCATGCTCTGTGTGTCTGTGTGAATGTGTGGAGTAGTTTCATCCAGTGCTGCCAACTACTTTTCAGGGGTAGTTGCTAAAGGAAGATTGATTTGTTGCTAAAAGTTGCTAAATGACGCGCGATGTCATTGCGCGGTGACGTCATTGCGTAATCACGATGCAAAATTGTGTCACTGCATCAAATCTCAGCAAAAAAAATTTTTTTTAAATATGTTAATTTAGATGTGTTTATAAAATAATATAAATGCATAATATAATATTAAAATATAAATAACTAATTTTAAATACAACATT